ATCTTAGCTAACATTTTTGTCATCTGCTCTTGTGCCATCGAGTGGTGAGGACCCGTATCTGCTAGCCTAATCCCCAAATATCTCAGTGGTTGATCCGATGCCACCCATGCCATTCCTTCATAATTCGGTAGATGAGCTTGAATTTGATGATTCACATCTGATAACCACCACCCCACCGTTTTAGGCCAACTAATTTTCATTTCCAATGCCAATTGAAAAGCCTCCATCGCTCTCGTGAGGGCTTGGAAAGAGGATCGTTGCAGAAAATTCCAATTAACCTGATCGTATGCCTTCTCAAAATCAAAAAAGAGAATTGTTGCGTTGATCCTCTTGTCTGTAATATATCTGACCGATTTCGATAAGGTCATTACATTATCCAATATAAATCTTCCCGGAATAAAACTTGTTTGATCTAGATGAAAAACTTTGTTTGTAACCCTTCTCAATCGATTAGCCAGGGCTTTGGCTACTATATTATGGGTAAGAGTTAGAAGTGTAATCACTCTATAGTTTATGATATCCTTGGGGTCACCCTTTTTGTATTGAAGAGTGACAACTCCTGTGGCCAATTCCACCCCTAGACCTTCTTTTTGCCAAGTGTGATTAAGAAAGGCTTTGTATTCCCCTCCCAAGATGGGCCAAAACTCCAACCAGAATTCTTTTGTAAGTCCATCCCTGCCTGGAGTCTTGTTAGGAGGCATAGACTGCGATGCCTCCCTTAACTCTTTATGAGTCAATGGAGCATCCAACATTTCAGCTTGTTCTCCCTTTATTGTACACTCGAGGTATGCCATAAATTTGCTTCAGACTCCTTTTAAATGGTGCGTCTCATGTTCTCCCTCCCTTGAAGTGTACAATGCACTGTAGAAGTTATAGGCCACTGACAGCATCCCCTCTGGGTCTGATACCAACCCCTGCGGACCCTCCATCTGTTCTATTAATGCATTTCTTCCCCTTGTTTTAATCTTTTGGAAGAAATACTTTGTCATTTCCCCCCCCTCCTCCCAATCCCTCACGCACGCTCTCATCTGCAACCCCTTTGCCCTCCAACGCTCCCAATCTCTCAATTCCCTTCTTGTTGAGTCTATTATTTTCTCGTACATCTCTATCCCTGGGTTATTGATTAGATTCCTTTCTGCTATACGCAATGCCATTTGTAATTCAATTTGTCTTGCCACTCTCCTAGCTGCCAATTGCCTGGCTACTGCTGATGTTGCTCCTGTCAGAGCTTCTATTAGATCTTGGAACGTTTGTGTTACAAAACTATGTGTTAGGCATACATGTACTACAACATCTCTTAATTCCTGAGTTTTTAATAATGAATTATTAACCTTGTAATAACTCCTTCCCCTATGGATATGCTTATCCATAGCCAAATTAAGAAAGATTGGCTTATGATCCAGACAACTACAGTATGACAAATCTCCTATCCCTACTGAATGGACAACTCCTATCATATCCTAAGATATGAGAAAGTAATCAATCCTAGAAGCCGACATGTGCTGACTACGATTCCGTTTATAAAAGGTAAACTACTTTTGCTCTGGTTGTTGAAGTCTAAATGGGTCAATAAGGTCTCTAGATGTCATCAGATTGTGGATAGGTAAGGCCTCATCCCACATAACTCTCTCCCAGTCCTGACCTCCCCCCCATCAATCTATCCTTACTTGGTTCTAAAGTAGCGTTCCAATCCCTACTAAGATGAGATGTCTCGAGGAATCAATGTGGGTATGTAAAAGATTGATTGATCCAACCTCGGTTGCCAGGAGTTGGGACAGTAAACTGTGAATAATGCAAACTGTTCGTCCTGATATGTGAAATTTAATTTTATCCAACGACCTTCTCCCTCATCCACTCTCACAGCATGCAGTATTATTTTGTTTGCTGCCATAGACCTTTTATTCTGTAGTATAACCACTCCTGATGAATGTGGTCTGGGCGCTGGTGCCCAAAAGCTTGTTTTAACCCATCTCAACTGCTTCAATATGCGTTGCTGAATTAACTGATGAGCCGGAGAATCCGTTAGATGAGTTTCCTGTATACATAGGAGATCCGGTGGATCCTTCCCATACCAATCAGAATATTTCACAACGTTATCCCATTTTTCTCTATTTTCTAATATTTGTACCATCCCATTGATGTTCCAAGACATCACTCTGAGATCTGGCTGTCTACTTCCTGAGATACCTATTGTCCTTCTCCTCCTCCCTAACCCCTCTCCCAGTGCCCCCTCCATAAGCTACATTCCCTATGACAGGCTCCTAAGTAATTGTGCCCTCACAATCCTGCCTGTGACAAGTCTATCGTCGAGGCCCATGGTGCAATCTTGCTGTCTATGTAATCCGGCTGCCACGAAAACACATCACTTTTGGTAAGTATGGCCTCGCCTTTTAATCTGTTTTTGCTGAAATCTCTGTGTCTGAGTTGTCTTTGAATATATGCCTTTCTGCTAAGTCTCGAGTGGATGTATACGTCCAATACTCACCCTGTACCCACGCTGTTGTGTTGTGCTTGGTGAGGAGCAGAATGGCAAATAGTTGGAGATGCAGGGGTAGGATAGGGTTGCCTTAAGCTACCAGTACATACCAGCCATCAGCCGCGGGCCCCTGTCACAGGCTGCCCACCGTCGATTTGTTTTGTCGACGGCGTGTGATCCTCCGAAGTTTTAGGAGAGGCTCAGTCACACTCTCAACTTGGCTGGGCCCATGTACCGGTGCTTTAAGAGATCAGTGAAGGACTCCCCCTGTACCCACGATATTGTGCTGTGCTTGGTGAAGGGCAAAAGGGACAAGAAAACAACAAATACTCATGCATCAAAAAAGAAACATCCAGTGGGCTGGAAAACATACACGGATTGAGTGCAGGCAATTAATCCATCAAGTTGGCAACCAAGTAGAAGAAGGAAGGGGTGGGGAGAGGACAGACTTAATTATCCATCAATTTACAAAAAGGGAAGGACCCGAGACAACCATAAACAAAAGATGGTTTGTGCCAGGCACCAAAATTACTTAGAAGAGTTGCAGAAAAGCACCATTCCAACACATCCCGTCCTCGTTTCTCTCTCTCTCTCTCTCTCTCTCTCTCTCTCTCTCTCTCTCTCTCTCTCTCTCTCTCTC